AGACGCAGAAGTCCCAAAGTGTCGGGTTCTTCACCCGCCAAGAAGGCTGATAAGCCAGGCAACAGAAGCGAAATTGCCCCATAACTTGTCCAAAGGCACCCTTGAGCCTTCAAGCAAGGTGCTCTGTCCCTGCTCAACTCGCTGATATCCATCAAATCTACTTCTGCCGAATTCCGCGACAAGCTGTTGTGCTTGCATGATGTAGATAGAGCTCAGGGTGCAGATTCGCGGGTCTGACAACTCTGACAACAGCTCAACAACAGCCCCTCCTCAGCCGACCGAATCCTCACTGTAGGTTCCCAGGCTGCGCAAAGTTCGCGGCCCAGCCCTGCGTGTGGCAGAAGCTGGGTCCTTGTTAAGAAAGTTAGGTCGAGCTACCATACTAGGGTCTATATTGCAAATCATATTAAATGCTTTCCGCATTACAAATCTTCAGAGCAATATTGAGATTAATATTGAAATTGATATTGTCACGAAGATTAGTCTGAACTAATGCTAATAACAGTATTGATGTGCTTATTAACTATAACATTCATATGGCATATTGTACTATGGTATTTGAAGGTAAGTTGCTTGGCAAGAGCCCAGGAACTCAGCAAAGCTTGAGCGCTTGGCCCACATTCGTGGCTCGTCCGAGCTGGCGCCCCACGGGTTCCCCGACCCTCCTCTAGGGTTCAGGGTTTAGGTGTATAAGGCTTAGATTCATAATCATCTTAAAGTAGTTGAACATAATTAGGGTTTAGATTTACACATATATCCCTAAAGTAGTTGAAGTATATTTTCTAGATCATGAGCGGATGCTGAAAAAGGAAGGGACCTTCAAGTATGGGACATTAACAGGGACCTTCAATTGCGGGGCATTAGAGTCCTTCGATTACGGTTGTTGTCTTTAACTACTGAGGGTGCAGACTTTCGGGTTCCGGCGTGGTTCGATTCCGAACCTTAGAAGACGGTGCCGACACGGCAGTCAGCAGTCAGTTTATGAAATCAGTTTAGGTGTTCTTGCTAACGCAGAGCAGTATGCCGACGTTTCGCGCTCCTCGCGTGTATGGCCAATGCGGGGTTTTCGATGCTTCTCTCCCCTTGTCTCCCTTCATGTGGACTATTCTGTCCCCGGAAGTGTTTGCAAATGGACCCGCTGAGTTCGCCACGGCGCTTGCAAGGGGGTTCTGTAGCCGACATTGGCCAGGAAAGAGCATCTTCAGACTGTTGTGATTCATGGAGTAGGGGGGGAAGGGGGCTTCTTCATCCATGCTTTAACCGCTTGAACTTGGACTTACCATGTTGGTGGAGCATAGCAGAAGGACATGCATATAGGATTAGGTTAGGACGGTTGGGATACAAGGAGAAGAATGGCTTTGGGCTACACGCTTCCCTTTCTACAGTTCAGCAGCTGCGGCAGCGAGATACCAATAAGGGCGGTAGGGGATAGGGCAGGACAAGAGATAAGTAAGACAGGTGATAAACAAACGCGCCCTTTGTATTGAATGGTTGATGGCATGACAAGGTACAGATTTGCGGACAAGCATGATGTCACAACGCGCCGTTGCCCCTCCCACCACCACGCTCCCCCCCCCCCCCCACGCACACAACCACGCACCACGCCCCAGCTCACTCGTCTTGTGCTCGGCTGTTGGAAGATTACACCCCAATAGGACCCTGAAAGAAGCCCTATATAAGCCCCCCCGGTTTAAAACCCGTAACCCCAACTCCGAAAAAGGTGACGTTCCTCTCCTCTTCGACCACCTGGAGTTGCTTCCCCACGGCGCCTCGGTTTCGAAACCTGGGGAAGCCTGGGCATTGGGGACGAGGGCTTGCAGGCCTTGTGGCTTTGAGCCTTCAAGGTCTGGTTTTTGTTGGCTGGTTTTTGAGCTTGACATGTTTAGGTTTAGGGTTTAGGGTTTAGGGTTTAGGGTTTATAGGGTTTATAGGGTTTAGGTTTAGGATGCTTACATTTTGGACCTGAGGGGTGCCCCAACGGTTTGTGAATGGCCCGGGTTATGCTTCGGGAAGGCTTTATTCTGACTTCGGGCATGCAGGAAGGCCCACAAATCATGGCACGTGGAACCTGTGGTAGCCGCGAACAAGTCTGCGAAACGGTTCACTTTCGACCTTACATTTATGCCTTGATCATTAGGAAGGCGCGAAAACCCTGTGAAGATTTTACCTTAAGCTCTTCAAAAGGTTGTTGAATTCTTGGGGATGTAACAGTTACCCCTAAACCCTAAACCCTAAACACTCAACCCTACACATGGAGCCAAGCAAAGGCATCGTCCAGCGCTCCCCTCCCGCCGACCCGCGCGGGCGTCCTGGCTGCAGCCGAACGGAATCGCAAACAAAGGAATCTTCAGTATCCAGCATAGGTTTTCGGGATTTTTTTTTGCAAGGTAGCAACGAAATTTCAGCGGTAGTATGACCACTCATCCAGGCGTAAAAAGTAAGGGCAATTTGTGGTCATTTTCATGCTATTTATCATTTATTTGGGTCCCCGGCTAGAGGCTTGAGACATCCTGTAGTTGTCCACCTCTTGTCTCCTACATCCCACGCACTCCGACTCGGGGAGCTGTGAACCCGCAGTGCCACTCCCTCAACTATAAGGATCTGCATCACGGCAATACAAAACTTGACAGTATCTCCTTATCGACCCCATGTGAGTATGCTACGATATGCGCCGAAACCCAATTATTAGCTTTCCAGGCCATCATCTCAAAACCCGTCTGAAATACCTAGAACACCCTACAAAAGCCCAGAATTATCATCATTCATTCTGTTGCCATTCTGTTGTGATTATTAGTCTCGAGGCCTTGAACCCCAAACCCGAAACCCCAAACCCTAAACCTGAAGCCCTAAACCCTAAACCCTAAACCTGAAGCCCTAAACCCTTAGCCCACTGTTTTAGACCCGTTTCCAGACCCAGGGCTTCCACGGCCGCCCTCCTGGCAGCGCTGGAAGCTCTGGAGGATGACGATGCTCTGCAACTCGGACACTTCGGTGTTTTTTTTTTTGGAGGGGGG